ACAGGAAGTCAGATCCTGGAGTTGTCAAATGGCTCAGAAATACCTGAGTAGTCTTTGGTGGGTTAAATGCTTTCATAACAGGTCAAAGTTGAGTGAAATTTTTAATCTTACGTTTGTCCTAAGTGAACCAATATGCAGAACTAATGAGATCATAAACTTGTCCTCCAGTTAATGTGGTAGGTGGAGGATTGGGGAGGAAGGAAGATGAGAGGCTGCCCAAACTTGTCAACTTGATTAAACCAGTTTAATTCGTGAATAAAAGAATTCGTAAATAAAAGAATACCCATAATAGCAGAGAAATTATTCACTGGAATATGAAACTTGCACCGAGGATGGCTTCAGCTGCTCTGCTTGCTCAGTATTCAAAGTAGCCTAGCCTTTTTAAAGTCCTGAGAAGAAACTAAAACACAACTCCTACAGGAAAACTACATTTTTTTTTCCTCAAGTTAAAGACAAATTGTCTTTTTAAAAAGTTCAGTACAGAACGTGCTCCTGTCACAAACTAACAACTGTGGTTTTCTTCGTGTATGATCTTTATAAAACCATAGCGATGATCTAGAAAGGGCTGTAACTGCATCTAGTCTGACAAGTTAATGCACGTGTGTTGACTGAATTGCTTCTCTTACTAGCTACTACATATGCACAATACAGAAAGCAACATCATGCAAAAAAGCAACAATCCCATACCTTGTCTCTAAGAGCAATGCCATGCATCAACAGACACTGAGGAAGACTGAACAAACAGCAGATATGGGAAAAGAAACCTATTCATAGAGCAATGCTTCATCTTATTGTATTAGTTACAGTCATCACATACACTGAAGCATGAGATCACCTCTTCAAAAATTCATAATCCTTACAACTTCCTGGTCAGAAAATGCCGGTCAGATTAATTACAAATGAAAGCATAGTATCTACCAAAATTAAGTCTATACACAAGAAATTATTTGTTATACAAACATTTCCAAACAATACTAAGTTATTGTAGTGAAAAAAGAGCTACTTTTAAAATAATTGTTTATTTCAATTTTTAATTTCATTATACTAGCAAATAGTTGCAAAAAATTAAAGTGATATATAATCAGATTTTTTCAAAAAAGCTACATACCTACTTCCTTCTGACCAAGTTTCAAAGTTGATACAGACATCAAAGGTACCTGGACTCAGAACTGGACAGCAGAAGTATCGTTGCATCTAAACTTACATGCATGACTGTTGCTACAGTAAGCCTAAATGTTGTGACATATGTGACAAGGTTACATCACCCAAGCATCCCCCAAATTCTGCCTTGTCTTCAGGCCAGAAGCACATTATGCTTGACAGCAGAGGGAATAGGCTGGCTTTCCGTAAGCTATATTGCAGTTGCTATGCCACAGGCATACACAGGCTTTTAATGATCTGTCTGCCTCGTGTCTCAGCTTGGAAACTCAACAATCGCTAGAAACCTGAGGCATCCAGGCTGGGAATTACTTTATCTGTTAAGGGGTTTCTCCAATCTGACTAGTCACAGGATAGAATAAATACTAAGTGTGGTGTAATTCTGGCTTTACTCATATTGCACATGTGCAGAATGGTTATTTTGTGGGTGCATTGGGACTACAGACACATACAGGATAAATATATGATGAACAAACTCCACACTTCAGTTTGAAAGTTAATCCAATTTCTTTTAATACTCCAGTATGAGTCCTTAGCATGAGCTCATGCTATCCCTTAATGTGGAAGCAGGCATGTTTACTCGCCAATCTTCCCTATGGGACAGCCAAGTACCATGTCACAACGTAGCTAGAATTCACAGCCAGCCTGAACTAGGTACATAGATCTGTAAGTCTGATCATGACAATTGCTTTTCAACAGTCCCCCCTCAGCAGATTTATAAAAACTCATGTTTTTTCTTTCTAATTTCCATACTAATTTCTTATTTACCTTTAACTGTTGCAGGAAAAGAACACAATACAGCACCACCTTCATTTGTTTCTTTTTTTCCCATTAATGTTGGTTTTAGCTTCATTCTACAACAAAGTTTGCCACAAATTCACAGTGAAGACAGTGAAAGGACAGCCCACTAGTTGGAATACAACTTCAGGGCATGGGAATCTCAGATCTATACCAAACTCTTTCAAAACTTCTGATAAATTGGATACAGCAAGTTTCTCAAAATCTAAGCTGCAGTCTCTGTGCCACAGCTCCTTTTCTCCTTGGCTTCTGCAAGGTGCTCAGTCTTACTAGCAATAAAGCACTTACAAGACCAAGCTAAGGCAGTAAGACCTTCCAGGGGTAAAGCTAGAATACATATACTGCTAGCTGATAAATGATATTTGTCAGTCTTCATCCCACCACCAACACGTATGGTTTCCTATTCTGCACATGGACCCAAATCTTACCTTAAGTATAGTTTTCCTCTGATAATGGACAAATTCTTACATTACACACCCACAAATCATTTATTTGCTTTGTGCTGTGTACCACTGGCTATTAAGGATGGAAAGGAGATCAACCTTTTTCTCTGCTATCCTTAGATTTGAATCACAAACTCCCAGCATGCTATCACAACTGAAATGAGCTAGTCCTTAATTAAACAGAGGTTGAAGCTCATTCTTTAATTAAACAGATGTAAGTGCCTAATCATTCAACTACTCTGAACATACACTGCATATCATTTAATCTCACCACCCACATGACGAAGGCACAGTTTTCCTAAGACTTCACTCTGAGCAAACTGTCAGATGAGCCAGCCTATGCTTCTAACAGAAGTTTTTCTCTTATGACTGGATATGCCAGTGAAATAAGAATGAATGTGAATTTATCGAGAGCTGTTTTCACTGAAGTATGTATGAAATAGAAATCTTGGTAAGGAGCAGGAAAGAGCCTTGCAGCACACCCACACCTCTTGCTTTTTCTCACAGAGACCATTCAAGAAGCTACACTATTAAAGACTTTCTAACACCACATATGCTTTTCAAACTACACGCCTGTAATGTGTAGGATACCAAGCAATCCTCCCTTAGGCAAAGGGGGTAATTTTACCCAGAACATTTTAAGAACACCTTGGCTATACATGTTTATGTATAAACAGCTGCAAATAAATGTGTGAGGATGTGGCCCAGTCTGTTAACAAATTTAGATTATGGGATATAAATGTACGTGGGTAGAGAGGCCTGAATTTTTCTATCTAACTTCAGATATCCAACCAGGCTAACAGAAATAGGAACCCAGATTTCCCTAGAGACAGCAATTCAAAGATCTACAAGATGAGCCCACTTTCATGCTAGGCAGACTGCTTGATGTTCAAAGTGAGCTGCCTGACATATGAGGAGGCAAATACTTCTGTACATGTACTTTTTGTGTGACAATCTTAAGACGGTTACTTTTTAGAGCAGAAGAGTTTACCGGAAAGGATTTTCTGCCTTAAGGGGAGATGGGGAAGAAAAAAAAAAAAGATAGGTGAGGCAGTTGGCCTTCTACCCATACCTGACAGATCCAGTTGCTTACAAGAAAGGCAGGGGGAAAAAGACTGGCAGATTTCTGCAGATTCTTCAAACCATCTGGCAAAAATGGGATGGATCCCAGCTCAGATTAAGAACTGAACAAAGAGTCAGTTTCAATATTTAGCAACGAAAGGCACTGAAGATACAGACAGAGAAGCTGTAGGTGCACACTTCCATGTTCAATAGTATAGTCATGATGAAAGGAGCCTGTTGATTCTGTCTCCAACCTCCCCTTTCCATTCCTTGTGCCCATGGATGCTGTCCTCTTAGACTGCAGTATGGCACATGCTGAAGGTGGCAGTGTGCCAGAACAAGTAGCCCCTTGTCTCCCTTATCCAGTGGTTTCAATGTTAGATCTGCATTGCCAGCTATGATGCCACAGCATGAGTTTGCCAGGTAGATGGATGAGGAGAAGGTTTGGCTAAAAATAACTCCCCCAGTTCAGAAAAACAAGGTCCCTGATGTTTTCTACAGTAATGCTTATAGCAGTAAGAACTAGTAAAGCACAGGGAAGGTGTGAGAATGAGGAAGGTTTGGGAAATTGGTTTGGTTTGGCTTTTTGTTTTTATAAGACAAATCCATGACTTAAGAATACACATCCAATTATGGACTCTTTGTCCATTCCACTGCTTATAAGCTGTGGCCACACAATTTAAGAAACATAATCATCAATAACAGCAGTTAATTTTAAGTGATTTAAAAGAAAAGTGAACAGTCTAGGTCATTCCTTCAGTGTGGTTCAGGGGACAGAGGAGATGGTAGCCTCACCAACATAGCAGAAACAAGAGGCAAGAGTTAAGAAAGCAAGAAGCTCTCCAATTAGCTTTGCCAGAGGACTGGTAATGCAAAAGGGCCTGTGCTACCACAGACTAAAACCTGAAGACTTCGGTACCTGGGATCAGAAAAACTTGTTAAAGTTTAAAATGAGACACAGAAGGTTTGCTGTTCTCATGCAGTGGAGGTTGGATCACACATGTTCAAGGTGATAAAAGTCCCTTAGCAAGCGTCAAGCTTGCATAGCCTAAGGTACAGCCTGATGGTGCTTAGACAATCCAGTAGTGAGTAAAACATATGATCCTACACAGGAGAGAATGAGGAAGGATTAACCACATCAGGAAGAACTGGGTCCTTTTGTGCTTTTATTGTCCACTAAGCAGTTCAGGCTTTTGCCCTTTTAAATGTCTACATATTGTCTAAACTTTTATGGATACCTAGCAATGAAGCTGATGACTGAATAAGCACAAGATGTGCAGTAATTAATCTTCTGAAGATGTACCTGAGGTGGTACAAAAAAAACAGGAACCGTTAAAAAGGGGAGAAGCAAAGACGTTTAGAAATTAATTGTTTCAGCTCAGGTTTTCTATTCCCCGTGACAGCAAGGACTCATGACTTGCTGGCACAAGTCTCTCCATAATGGTCCAAATTTTTTGGAATAAGTTTCAAAGTCAACACCACAATCCAATTGGATTGTTTTTCCCCCTATACATATAGCCTTCATAGGGAAAAACATACCAGTTAAGAATTCTTCCACCATGGTAAATCTACAGTCTTCTTGTTGTTTTGTTTGGAAACTGTAAAGTAAAAAGAAAAGCAGAACTTTAAACTCCACATCAGCCAGAGCTAGCAAATTGCCTTGTGCTTGCTGATAATGTTACAAAGAGACAGGATTCCTGTTGTTAAACTTGATGATCAGCAGCTTTGCAAAGGAACATGCAATAACCAGTGAACTTTCCACAAAGACAGTTTCCTTCCCATAGATCTCCATACATAACCTTTACTGGTCTCAGTAGGATCATTACATCCATTAGACTGTGGACTCAGCACTGCTTTCGCTCTTAAGTTAATACAACTGAGACTTTTTTTTTTTTTAAACTTTCCTATTGGGAAGTAGCATGTGCAATTTTAGTGATTTCTTAGATCATTCCATAAGTAAATCAAATATTCTTTCAAGCCTAGTTATCAAAATTGTGTCCTTTGATACTACATCCTCCATCAAACTGCGGTAATCCAGATCAACACATTTTAAACCTCCACTATTTCTCCTAATATCATTCTAGCAGATAGAGTAATTAAATTTGTACTTTTTTTTATAAGTCGTACTCAATAAATCTGAATAAATTAACAACGCATTACTAAGGCTGCTACATTAAATTTGCATAGTGCATTTAATGAATATGCAACTGCAAGTGAAAAGGTCTGCTACTGTGAACCTTCCACATTAGCATAACTACTTCCAGCATGTTTCTTAAATAATGCACTCATTTGCACATCACTGACTTGGCTAATTCTGACTTCAGTCAGGGTAGCCTTGTAATTAAGACTCTTGCTTTAATTTTTAATGAAGTTTATGTTACATCAATCCTGACAGTAATGAGGGGACATGGAAACAAAAAGGCTGCTAATAATTAAATTCACAAACCAGTTTGAGGGATAATAATTCCTGAGGAGAAATTACATGACTAATTATTAATTAAATATTCATACTATTGCAGGGCCATCTCCCTTAACTGCTCTTCTTGTTGGTAATAATGCTGAGATGTGGATGCCTTCTTGCAACCATTCTGATTTTAAGGTCTTTGGTTAATTTTAGTGCACCATTAATCAATATGACACAAAAAATAAAATTGTTTTAATTGGTATCATTTTATTGTTTCTAAATATTACTACAGTTGGTTTAGTTGTGTAAAATTAATCTAGTTAGCCGGTGCCCATTTTATGGGAACATAAATCCAGTTTATATCCATAAACTTCTAATGGCAGGACAACTTGACCTTTTTTTGTAACATTACTGTTTACAGATAATTACACCAACTCTTTAAAAGGTTGTTTAATAGCTTTGCATTCATCATGGTAAAATGAAAAACATGCAATATTATTTAACTGCAGACTATTCTAAGAAGGTCTCCAAGACCCTAATTTACCCCTGCTGAAAAGTAAGCAATATTAATTTGTGTGTTTTTAAGAAATCTATGAGAGCTTTTCCTCAAATGCGTACAAACAGATTGAAAGTGTTTGTGCACGGATCCCTATTCATCTTTTACACAATTTAGATTACATATATAGCAAAACTAATAGCATTGCAATGACAGCTTGTGCAAAAGATGTCCATTTGTGGCTTTGTATATGACACAGGTCTTCCAAACGACAGTTTTCCAGCCTCTTGTACATAAAGACCATAAATTCACTGAGGAATTAGCTTGATTAATCCTAATTTATGTCAACATTTTTATCAGCCAGAATTCTGCTTACTGAAAGTGTCATAATAAACCTTTAGGATTGCATGTTTATTAAAGGAAGCTCAGCATTTGTAGGAAAGTTTAGCAAGAGGAAAGAAATTATTTAAATGAAGCTTATTAGTCACTAAAGTCAGTTGCACCACAAATTTGTTTTAAAATTTATGTTAGTGCTTTAAAGAGAGAGCATTTTGCATAGCATAAAATTGATTCTCAAATTATTAAAAAAGACATAATACACGTCCTTTTTATCCTGAAGGGGCATTTGGAAATTCTGAACCAGGGCAAACAGTTCATTTTTCTAATAATTCAAACCAGTTGCTTCATCAAAGTGAAACAAGTCCATCACCATACATGGGGCAATGATTCCCTTTAGCTACCGCTTGTCACATTACTACAATCTGACAGGTTTGTAGGGCATTATTACTAGGTCTGATTTGTACCACTCTATCCCTTTTACTAAATCTTAAAAATCTTTTTAACTTTTCTTTTTTCTCTACTCTCTTAAACTAACACCTGAAGGCAATTTAAATATACCACTCCATAATGAAATACCACTTTCGTTCTCTCTAGAATTAAGATGTCGTTATCAGCCATCTGTTCCTGGGTCTGCTCTCCATTTCTTCCATCAAAGAAATAATTCCAGGCGTGAAACACCTCATTGGAGCAACAATCACCTGAAACTGGCGGAGTGCTCCAATGCAAGGGTGGGCCTGGCTCGCAGGGACCAGCAGAAGAAACATTTCAGATCACTTGGTGTCACTGCATATAGCAGGTGAGACCTGCTCTCTTTCTTCCCTCCTCCCTGCTTCCAGAAGCAGGATCTCTTCATTGCTCTACTTCTGCTGCCTAGAGTACAATACCTGGTATACAGGACAGAAGTGTTCTCAGTTTAAGGGCCAAAGCATGAATTTAAGGATCAAATAGGTCCCATAGTTACACATCTTGCTCAAGTTCAGTGGATGCTGAGCCAGGATTTGATGCTAGCTGTCAGACTAGCACAACTCCAGCTGTGCTACTCTGCACCTCACCAGCAGTTACATGCACACGCAGGGTAGCTGTAGCAACAGAACACAGGCTTTGATTCTTCACCACATTTCCACCAGCTACCCAGACCTTGTTCTAGTCAGGATTTCAAAAGGAGAGATTAAAAAACAAAAGAAAGAATGAAACATTGGAAATACAGGAGGTTGTTACAGGGCCCATGGATGACTACCCAAGCGGGAGACTCTACCCTCAAGTTACCACAGTGCAGTATATGCCTGGAGATATTAGGTCTCCAGCATTTTGCCTGGGAGATTTTCAGGCAGGTACATGAGTGCTTATCTTCTGTGAGTATACATGCAAAATCAGATAATTGGACACCCATGTCTTGCAAAACACATCAGACCTACTTGTCTGCTTAGACAATCAGTAAGATATGGTGTATCCTCCACTGTAGATGGTATACAGGCCATGTATAGAGCAACTCTTGTATGGTGGATCTGATGCAGTTGGCAAAACAGATGTATGTATACCTGCTGGATGTCCTGTCCAGGACATGTCTGAACCTAACCTATTGTCCTTGGTGATTAATAAGATGCCAAAAACCAGAATGGAATGTCCACATGCCTCACACTCATAGGATCACAGAGTCATTCAGGCTGGAAAAGACCTCTAAGATCATCTATTCCATTCTAATAGCGCAAATCTTCAAAGAAGGAAAATAGGGTTTGCCTGGGAAAACCTGGTCATATGCCAGCTGTATTAAATAATACCCATTGAATTAAACTAAAACCAAACTTATTGAAAGGTTAAATTACCTTATGTTTTCTCCCAGATTTATTGGCATTTTATGCATGTTTTCACTTTGCTTGCTCTGACAATTATATTGCCACAACATACCACTAGTTTCCATGTGCATGACTTATCTCTAACACTGCCCACATAATGTTTATTTTCAGTTTGGAAAATTTCCTGACAGACCTTTTGGCTATATGGCTATACCCATTTCATAACGCTAGGTTCCATTCTTCCATGAAAGCTAGCACAACCACTGAATTTTATTGGTATGCTCATCTTCAAATGCAATCATAAAAAAAAAAAAAAAAAAAAAGTTAACAGAACATTAAAAACTACCCTGAAGTTTGAAGTTATGTTAAAGTGGAAGGGGTGAGCACATACAGTCCATGTATTAAAAAGGAAGGGTCAGAGAATTACAAACCATTGAGCACAGGCTTACTGCTTAAGCAATACTTCAACATACAAGCAGCAGCAGATAACATATAGTAATGGCTAACAGCAATTTGCAATGATTTCCATTTCAGAAATCTGACATCCTTCTGCAACAGGATGTTCATGTCTTGTGGATAGAGAAAAGGCGGTGGATATCTGAAGCTTTGACTTTGCTCTTCAGAGATGACGTAAAAAAGCCTTGCCAATCTCATCAGTGGAAAGGAAAAAAATATCCGTTAGAGAACGTAAACTCAAAAATGAGTAGAAAACCACTCTAGAGAGCAATTACTAGTATTCCACTGTCAAACTGGGAAGTTGTCACACTGAATTCCTATATGGTTCTGTCACACATTAGTATTGATCAGTACTTTCACTACTGACCTGAAGGGTAAAAGAGGGTAAGCCTATAAAACTGTCACAAGGTAGGAAGGCTTACAAATATTCTCAAAAACAAGAACAGAATCCAAAGTAATCTTGCAAGATAAATAAAATACAGACTAAATGGAGATTAGTCCAGGGGAAGACAACCAGAGTGAACAGAATATCAGCAAGCGAGCTCCACAAGGGAAAACTGAAGAAACTGGGGCTTGCTGTTCTTTTGTAGAAGTTTCTAATAGGACAGAAATAAAGACTGCTATTAAGGAAATTAACTTTTCTCAACATCTGTGATGATGGCAAGAGGAAAAAGTAGTAACATACTTCAGTAGGAAAGACTATTATCAAGTGTTAGCATTAGTACTGGAATAGGTTGTAGCATCTTCATCATCAAGGTGTAGGCAAAAATCACTTTTGTAAAAATAAACCAACAAACAAACTACCACTTCTGTATAGCTCATCCTGATTTGGGAGAGAAGACGGACCAGACAACCAGCTGTTGGGTTTGCTGGGTTTCTTCCAGTCCTGATTCTGGAGCGAATTCAGCTTTATGCACGTGCATGTATATCATGTGTACCAAAGAACCGGTGTGACTAAATAACTTAGTTCAAACTCAAGGTCAGTTTTTGAGACTCAAAATAATTATAACATTTGGATGATGCTATTTAAGAGGAGCAAGTTACAGGTGCTGAGTAAGAGTGCAGGCCATCCTTCTTAGACCTAGAAGTGAAAAGCATGTGAACTGGAATTGAATGAAGCGGCTAAGTGAAATTTTCCTTGTGAACAGGAAGCAGAGAGAGACCAGAGAGCCTCCACTCCTCTTTTCTTACTGGAGAAAGAAAAAGTTTCCCTTCAGAAAGTTCATCTTTTACTGAGTTGAAGAGAACGGAGTAAAATTCCAGGAAGCGTTGATCTCACACTCCTGAAGCTCAGGCCTAGGCCTCCATGGCTCGGTGCTCCCTCTGCTAGAGGGCAGAGATGCATCTTTAAACACAGTCTGCACTATGTGCTCAAGTTTCCAAGCCTTGAGTCCTCCCTCTTCACTGAGTTTGCCAACAGACTTGGTGAATGAGATGGCATTGCTGAGAGTTACCAGCTTCCCTCCTCCCTTCCCCAGGGAATAAGATAACATCTCTGAACCATTTGACTGGAAAAAAGCCCTGAGCCAATTAAAGAGAAAACACAGTTCCTGACAAAGTACTTCAGTTCTTACTTGATCTACTGTGGCAAAAGCAGTGAGAGGTGAACTAAACTCAATTGTTGGCACTGGTTTGCAAAACACATCAACACATACAGCTGGGTCCACGTGACACTTCAAATCTACACTTGGAGTTTGGAATTGCAATTATGCAAACTAATATAAGAGAGAAAAGTGCCATTTCTAGTTTAGGACTACAGTACAAATTTTGAAGTATACACTCATTCCTGATAGGAACAAACATTTGTTTTCAAACATTCTTATGAAATTACTGTTTTTAGAAAACCATTTTGCTCAAAATGATTTGCTTAAATCATCTAAAAAATGTTTCAACACGTCATTTTCCAGCTTATATTATGTTTGCATGAAAGGAAATATTCCAAGATGAGAAAATTTTAATAATCCATTTAGATTTTATTTTTTTAAATTAGAGCTCTTTTCCCCCCAAGCATACCTTCATTAAAAAGAACACAAGCTTAGAGAAGATATTTAAGTTTACACAAAAATATTTTTCAACAAATGGAGTATTTACCAGAAGGTTCCTATTCCCTTTTACTGAGATCAGTAATTCTTTATTTTGCACAAAAAGAATACTGTAACTGAAATCTTTCTTAATTGCATAATGAATTCATACTTAGATGTGGAGCCATAGCAAGTCCTCCCAGCTTGGGCAGACAATGGCCTGATCCTGTCTGAAAAACGAGAGCAAGAATCAAGCCAGTAGATACGGTCCTCAAACAACCTCTTTGGCAAGTGAATACTTATTTTGTTGTATTTCTTTTAAACAGTCTTTTAGTAAGAATGATAGGTTGAAAGTATTTTAGTAGCAGGCTGGGGTTTTTAATTTGGAAAATAACCTCTAACCAGCTGTTTTTATGCACAAATCTGCCTCGCTTTCATAGAAGTCATTAAATATAGATGCCTACTAGCACTGAGGTGCACAGCTGAGGTGTTAACGGTAGTCAGAAAAACAAATTGAGGAGTGACAGAATGGGATGATCACATTATTATAAATCTGACAGTGGCACACCACAGAAAATCAGCACCCAAATAATGTCACTCAGCTATAATAACTTCAGCAATCAATCCCTCCAAACACCATCTTTCCGTGCAATAATTCCATGTTAAAAAACTTTTTTATATCTTCATTTTTCAGGAACTGCCATGTCAGTTAAGCTATATTGGTGCTCCCTCCTGCAAGCTTTCAATAATTCCCAGTAACAGCAGCAGGCACTTTGCTAACAACTGGCAGTTAAAGCAGTCTGGCCAGCCTGGAATCCAGGGCTCCAAGTCAGTGAGCACAAGAGTGAACAAGAAATCAATTTTAATCTGAGTGACTCCTAATACACTTCCCTTCTAAAGCTTCTCAATTTTGACAGTAACATAAAAAGCATGAGAAGACATAGGGGAAGAACCACAACTCAAGACTTGTTCACAGCTTTATTTATTAATATATTTTTAGGAATATATAAACTCATTTAACACAGACAGGAAATAGTCTGAAAACCACTATTTATATTGCTTCATAGCTAAAAAATTACTGGGAAGGGGAAATAACTTCACAGCATTTTAGAGCCACCATTTCCTATTACTCCATCTCCAGTGATGCCAAACTCCTCACTGGTTGTTCAGATTGTCCTATAAAGAGAATTTCCCTGTATGGGGAAACCTTACTTATCCAAATTTAGGCATGGAATTACTACAAGCAACCTACTTAGAAAGTCGCTTACACCAGATCCCATTAGCTTTTCTAAAACTAGGAGATTTCATTGCCTTTCTCAAGAAAAAAACTAAAGACCTATCTTCCCAAATGGTGGGAAGACAGAGCAGACACAGGCTAGCTCCAGTGGTTGTGTACCATATCTAATGCTCAATCTCATCTACAATGAGCCAATCAAAAGCAGGTTACAGAGGTATTTGGGGTGAACTAAAAAGAACAAAAATAAATCAGAGTTACTGTAAAGTCATCCAAAATTTTCAGTGATATCAAAGCGTAACAAGGGCACTTTTGAGTCTCATTAGGCTTGAGCTCAAATATAAAAGTAGTTCAGCAAGTTAAGCAACATGCATCTCACTAAAACATAGAAGGCTTGTTGTCAGGCTTCAGTAGAACACTGGAAATTCAAGCCATTTTGACTGGATATTTTACTGACTATAAATTTAAGATCAGGTGGAGGTAAGCCTCCATCACCTGTTAAGGTGAAACACCTAATGACAACAAATGCAGATTTATTCACATAGTCCCCTGCCACTGTTTAAAATCTGTAATTTTGGTGAGTACTTCTGCTACTTATTTTCAAAAAAAAGGGGACACACACGCACACAAAAGATCCCAGGGACAAGTGGAACGAGACCTCTAAATTCACACAAGGAACTCCTAGTTTCTAAGGGGTTCTGTCTAAGTACAGAAACTTGGTTTTAGCTTGCAAGATGTAGATACTAATACATCATTTTCTGAATATTGTTTGACTTTTACATCTGTAAAGCAGGATTATCTTTTTTTTATAATTACACTAAGAGAGCAATAATGGGAATTTCTTTTACCCTTCAACATCATGAGCTACTCAGATGAGAACTTTGTATTGCATAATACATGATGCCCTGCTTTACATGTGATATGCTTTACAAAAAATCTTAGTCTAATTGTGAAAGACTACTGTTACAAAACATTCTCATCACTGGCATGTTTAATTGAGCTCCTGAGAGGCAGTATCAGTAAGACTTAGGGATAAATAACCAGAGTCCCATTGGTCTCACCAAGAATCCATTGATGTTTCATAAATCCTAGTCAGTACAAATCTAATTGAGTTACCATGCTGAATTAGCTTACATCTAAATGGCATTCATGTCTACAAATGGAATAATTAAAGTCTAGAAAATGGGATATATCAAGTGCTATCCCAAGTGACAACAGCAAGACATTGTATTCATTCAATCGACTGCTTTAAAAAAGCAGATGTAATACTTGATTTGGGCTTGATGACGAGACAGTGTTATTGAGTCGAGCAACGACACCAGACAGAGAGTGTTAAATATTGTTTCATATCTATCTATTTATATTTATTCTAAGAGACTCTTCACTTTGATTCTTTCAGATTTTGCTTTAGGATACAAAGTCTTACATGACTACATAATCCTCATTTTATATCTAGGGTAATGAAATCAGCTACCCTCATTAGTGCTCTTCCATTGCTAGAATTCTAAGATGAATAGCAAATAAATCAGCAAATAACCAGGTTTGCAATAGATCTTTCAAAGCTACTAATATTTTTAGCATTTTAGGCAGAATAGAGCAAATAGGACTGCTTGTTTTGTCACCTTGCTCAACCACCTTCCTCTACATGCTGAACTAAATATGGTACCATTACACACTTGCTGGAATTCAGTGTCACCCTGCCAGTGGCATCCCGTGCCACAGACTGACAGCTACCAGATGCCACTACTTGGCTGGTGGGGGTTTAGTTAAATACCAGCTGCTTTTTTCAGAACAAACATAATGCATGGCTATCTCAAACTGTATACAAAGCCAGTATTAAATTAGAATGAATCTTTGCAATGCTGGATAACAGATTCCTTTAATTCAGAATGTAGTCTAATTTGCATGCATATTTTATTTATTACACCAATTAAGTTTTGCAAATAGTTTGCAATGAGGTCCCTATGACCTAATAATTCACAATTACTCTTGGGATATCCTGCCCACTTTAGCACGTTTTGAATAATATTGCTATCTCCTTGAGAAAAATAATGCATTTTTACATGATGGATTTATTAAGAGTGTGCACACTTCTTTCTTAACCAATTTTACTCTAGGCAGGGTTACTGGAACTATTTTGTAGGCCTCTGTTGTATTGGTTAATGAGTGCTTTCCTTCAGCTTCCTGTCTTTCTGGATACGTGTCTTCTGAGCTCTTGTGGAAAACCCACATATACACCATCCAGATGAGCACTCTGGCTGGTAACACCATATAAATGAATAACCACCATTTGAAACTGCCAGGATGATATTATGTTTCTGCTGTAGCATTAAGCAATGGAGCATGTTTAAAAATGGACATTGTGGAACACACTAATTTCAGCTGAACCTACTCAAGTCTAGTGAACTTGCTTCAGATTTATTCTGCAGAGTTTAACTTTCACGAAAAATGCATCAGAAAAAATGAAATTTCAAAGTCACTGCAATATATTCAGATATTGACATGTATTAATGTATTTTGTAAGAACAAGTTACCATGTAGTTTGTTCTATTTTAATCAGCTTTAAATAAGGAACTTTAAAGCATTCAGCTAATAATCTCCATTTTTAAGGGAAAAAACTGTAGCATGGAAGTACAAGGAAATGCCAGTTTTGTTTAAGCACTGTACTAAAAATAAAGTGTTTGTGACACTCTAAGATCATTTAAACTATATCTTTCATTTCCACTACAAACAACCTAACACAACTCCCTCCTTATAAGACAGAAAATCCCTATCTTGCAAAGACAGTTAAGAATGTCTTGCAAAGACATTCACTAAAAATAATAATGAAAATAATGAAAAAACAGACATCATACATTTTGCACTTGATTTTCACATACAAACTTAAAAATCTACCTATGTTTTTGGAGAAGGTGATAGAAATGTACTCAAGGAATAGAAATGTACTCAAGAAATGAATACGCTGCAGAAGAATTTAATTTTCTCTTTAAACTAAGCATACACACTGGGTCAAAGTATCTTGCTGTTCCCGCACACCTGACTTGCGCCTCCCTTGAGTGTTTTCTCACCGCATGCTGGTGTGGTATGAAAATGCCCAGCACCACGCTCTGTGTACAGCCAGATCCAGTCTTGATGTGGAGAAGCTGCCTTTGGCAGACAGAATCAGCCTCCTAATGCCCAAGAAGCAGCTGGAATCCTGCTACTGACTTCAGTCCACTAGCTCAGCCGGGGAATACCAGGTCTCCTGTCCCATCACCTACCCACGGCTGCCCATCACTGTCTCTGTCTCCTCTGCCTTCTCTTCAGCAAATCTCTTATTTTGGATTGTTTTCCCCAGTGGTTATGATCTGATCTATTTCACCCAGCAAAATTCGTTCAGTGTTACTCTCCACGTATTTCAACACTTGACATTCTTTTCATGTAGATCTGAAAATCTTCTGGATAAAATAGACATAGCAATGGAAAAACTAAAACAAGCAATTCTCAGATCAGCAAGTACAGAAGTAAACAGTATGCTTAAAAATAATTAAATACATGTATTTATGTAGCTATTTCCTTACCACCAACAAACTGTTTTAGAAAGTAATGTTGTAAGAGACCTATCTCGTGCCTTTGGTCAGTGTTAAATATGCTTTGTTGACAGCACAGTGAAATAACCAGGTTCTGAATTTCTGGTACACTGAAATTTATTTTTAAACAAATGTGAGCTATACTTATGTGTTTGAAAAAAATAAAACAGAGTGAAAACGTGCAAAGTAGAGGCCAGTTATGTAATATAAATCTCAAGTGGCTGCCTTCAGCAGAGCAAAGAGGGCTGAAATGGAACTGCTTGTTGAGTGAGGTGTGTAACAAACGATCCTACAAAGCCAGCTTAAAGCGAAGCATGTTTACAATATTCATACACGTAAAGAGAAATAGTGACAAACCGCATCGTATTCCAGCTCTCTGAGATTTTCCTGTTTTAATTCTGTGCAATTTCATTAACTTACTTACAAGCCAACATGCTTTAAGGAAGTCGATAGTATAGGTCGTTTTTAGTAGGCATTTATATTCCATTGTTAATTGGTGGTGTAAGGGGGAATGAGACAGCCTAGGACCCCCACTACACAGAATAGCTTGCATCAGCAAACAAATAAGCAAGTAATCTAGCAGATCAGCTTCCTTTTCTAAAATCTGTCAATAGAACCACATTTCCAAGCATGAGTATGAACCAACACATAAGAATTGGTACAAAACACATTGGGCTATGCTTACAGCTAAGCAGCATGCCAAGCAAATAACCAAACCTCCCTTTTTTGTGTGCACCATGCTAGCAGAGATAGCAAACACAGAGTAAGACGTCAATGAAGAAAGCGCTGTAGTAACTATATGAAATTCAGACACCTCTGTTATGATGGAGGGAAGTTTAGTTGGACTACATTTCCCATCATGCAATGTGCAAGAGCCTGATTGACAGTTGTAGTAACTACATTTTTCTGACAAGACAGAATTGTGACTCAGGATACAAGAGAAAAATACTGTGTGAAATTGCTTGCTGTTATTTAAAAGGACAAGACTAAATGATTGTTTATCAGTATACAAAATACTGAGTGAAATGTTCCCACAGGAGTAGCAGCCTGAATAGTATTAACAGTGCTTTAAACTGTAATGAATTCCCAGTCTAATTCACTATGAGGTTTCAATTTATACCACATTTAGAGTACTCCAGGTTCAAGTAATCACTGCAGTAATTAGCTTACTTCCAGTCCTCCAAAATAAACCCACTAATTTTTGCAATCAGCCTTCATTTGGTTAATCACCAGTTTAATTGATTTAATTAGTTTGATCTGCAAAATTAGTCAAGTGTAAATACTGTTTTGTAAACAGAGTTTAGCTCCAAGCTGTAATATAGGGAATTCTAATTCAAAGCTAGAGTTGATAATAAAACCAACACACATGATTTTGTTGCAGTATCCAGCGGTTCTAAGTCTGCAAGACACAAATTTACACTTTTATAGATAATGCTTTATATATATATATATATATATATATATATATATATATATATATATATATATATGTGACAAAACTCTGTTTTATTCTTGACTAATGATTTTTTCTACTGTGAAAACAGACACTGCAACAGTGGTTTTCCTTTCTCTAGATTAAGAGCAAATATCTTTCTACATTATTTAGCTTTTGCTTCAAAGGAGGCTAACAGGTATTTATTAATGAGCTAGACCAAAGGAAATATTATGGAGAGCTTTGGTAGCTCCTATACTAACATTGCTTTACAAGGCACAGGAACAAATGCAAGTGAAGCTAGAAATCTTGGCACTAATGTACAAGACAAAGAAGATCTGTAAACAGAAATAATGCCTTGAAATTACAAGCTGAACAAAATTTGGAATGGCACTAGCATCAAAGGTGCACTATTCTAGCCTTTTTTTTTTTTTTTCCTTGGCTCCACCAGTTATTGACAGAAGTACAACACAGAAGTACACGTGATACTCCAAAAAAGTATCTCATGACCAATACCCAAATTCAGTCCATACACATTAAGCTCTTTAAAGTTATGCCAGCAGATGCAGAGCATTGTTCAGAACAATGCAAATGCCTGCCTGGTAGGCAGGCTGGCAGATGCCTACGGTTCCAGAAAAACTGGCAAACTGAGACCAAGCTTCCAATGAACAGCATGCAGCTAAAGGAAATGCCTGGGCTCTGCCACTATAACAAGATGGACAGTAAGAGCTTAGATAATAAGAAGTGTCCAATACTGTAGGGAAAATACTTTTCTGTAAATTTAGTGAAAGCGCAAGTCTAGGATGCAAATAAGGGATCTGTTCTCAGCTCTGCTGGGCTGCCTTTGAGTCGTGAACAAGTCATTTAGATTTTCTGAATCCTGGTTCTAACTGGGAATGTAAATAGGGTTTGTTTCTATCTCATAAATATTATAAATCAAACCATCACAAAGAAGGGGGAAAAACCCACCGCCTTCCTACTGAAAAATATGATTAAACTGACAAAACATCAGAAAATTCTCAGATTATTTTTCTCTGTACAAAAATATTTTCCATTACTCTCAATGTAACGTGTTCTATTTCAGTAGCTTTAAATAATGTTGCTTTTATTTTTTAAATGTTTTTGCCCTGTTTCAAGCCTGTCATTCTCTTGTCCCTGAATAAAGAAGTATGAATACAACTTGTCCTCTATTTTTCTCCTGTTTTGCCCCATCTTCTTTTTCCAGCTGCAATACTGCAAAGCCATTTCAAAGTGAAGTCATTTAACCACCATACTCAAACACTCTGAGACTTCCTTCATTGTCTGAAAAATTATTTCCTGATAGCAGGACTTTTGCCTCACTGCAGAGGTATTAACATTTCAGAGAAGAAAAAAAAAAAAAAAAAAAAGATAAATTCAACTACTATTTATTCAGTTGTATTCACTGTAAGAAATGGAGGAGAAGCAATAAAAGACTGTTTTTCAAATATTTCAACAAGTGAAATCAAGCTTCAGTTTGCTCTGGTTTGAATTTGTCTTTCACAAAATTTAACTTCCTGTACGATATTTTGTTTGAAGTACTTCATGGGATTTTTTTTTTTTTTGAAAACAAACTAACAAAATAATTCTGGAAAAAATAGCAACTCATCTGAGCTTTTCAAGCTTTAGAAGAACACGCCCTTCTCATTCGCACATACTGTGAACGAGGTCAGCCAGGAGAGCTGCAGGGCAGCAGCTTGCCTGCAGGCTCAGTCCCTGCCTCTGCTGCAGCCACCCCACCACTGCTGAACGACTATGAAAGCTTGCACCACCTAAACTGGGAAGGAAAAGGAATGGCAACATCTGTACCAGTTCTTCAGTATCATTTTAAAACCTGTGTTATTCATATCTTCTGATGTGTTAATTTGTGCATTTGCAGAAACAACTGAACCCTGTTTTGTACCTGCAGCGCAGTTACCACCAAGGAGGATTTGGGGTGTTCTCCTTAAACAGTCCCAGATGTTTCTGTCATTCTGATTTGCATTGACATGTTCTTTATCAGTCCTAATTATCAATCCAAATGGCTAAGCTAAGCCTGCCCCTATGCAGAAGATGTATTTATGCACATGAACAAAACCACAGCTACAGTAGGAAGGCAGAAGTGGTACTGCAGGTTAGTGCCGCAGCCCCGCTCCTTCCTCTCACAAGGTGGGCAGCCTCCCCCAGCCACAGCGCACCCTGCCCCAGTCCCTCCGTCTCTCTGCAGGACACATACATGAATAAATAACATTTGCTGGATAAAAACATTATTTATTCAACTCCAACCACCAAGCCCTTAAAGCATGGTGCCCTGTGGAATAGATTACAGCATTCTGACACATTGTTTGGCATTTCCACTAGTGCTCCTTTACCAATGCAACAAACTGCACGTTGGGTACTCATTACACTGCACTGGAGAGAGTTGGATATCTTGTGAATATGCATTAAATTGTGGCTAGATTTCCCTTCACACCAGGTCTGAGCTGAGGCACAAGCACACGTACTTGAGAGCAGTGGTCGGGGTATACTTCTGGCACATTGCCATTGTCACTGAAATATGTCCTTTTCACAGATGTTTCTTATACAATTGGGAACAAATTGCTCATTCATATACACAGAGACATACACAGCTAGACATAAGGTACCACAAAGTAAAAAAAAAAAAAAAAAAAAAAAATTAAAAAAATGTTTATATATCTAGGTGAAAACAAGCTTAAATAAAAGCAGTTTCAGAGTACCAAGCATGTGCACTCTAATGCAATGGAAGCCTCCGTTTTTTCTTAAACACAAGTCAGAGATTAGAAAAACATACCACATCTTGTACATGGGCTTAGAAATGCAGTTAGTAAGTTAAACCAAATGCAAATGATCAGCTTTGTCAGTATACGTAAGCAACATATTAACCAGTTTTACAAATAAATTACAATTTGTACAATTGTGTTGTATAGCTTTGAAACAGACCTGAAATAAAAATATGAACGCTAGGAAAATTCCAGTGATCCTGAAGCCATTTCATGTAAAAGTTACAGCATGTTTCTGAGGAGTGAAAAGTGCCCCAGATGCACAAAGACGTATGTACTGAATAAGCTGGACAAAAACTCCAGCTTGCACAGGTGTCTTGATACCACAGATCCCTGCAGACAGTACAGCTGATTAGCAAGGACCATTAAGACCTTTAAAAGGGTTTTTAGTTTACACTCACATAATAAAAACTTCTGAAAGCTGAGAGACTGGCAGCCTCCCTTTAATTTCAGAGATCCAGCTCCATGATCACCAGGGATGGATCTCCGCACTTGCATATCCTGAGGGGTTCCGTCACCACATTTCTGTGGAAGACAGCAGAGCCTATGAGAAAAGGTTTGTGCCAGGGTCATGCTCTTAACTTTAGGCTATTTATGCAAAGAGCCTGCAGAAACCTGGAACGCTGTGGATGCACGATATTTGATCCAGAAGAAGTGTTGCTAGTACAAAGTATATCACTGATACTTTTAATAAATTCAAACCAGTAGAGCAAGTTGGTATTGGATTAGCAATAGGTATTACGTAGAAGCAGTTTTTGTTTGCAATTAGAAGCCCTAAAAGAGCACTTACTGTATCATTGAACTGTGGCCCAAAAAACTGTATACAGCAGCCGTATTTTAGCTAACCTCTGATTCCTATATTTATTTAATAGGAAGACCCGTTAGCTTTCTTCTCATAAGAACAAGAAAACAAGGGACTGAAATATGTTCAGTATTCAGTATTTATGTAAATTACTCCAATTCATGTTTTGTTAGAGACTGATGGATAATTCATTTCCTTATTTGTAAGATCTCTTAGGCAATCAAGAATAACTCTGAAACAACAACAAATGGATAATGATCACACTTACTATATTTGATTTAATAGGTTTGGCTGTGGTTAACCTATTTGTATTTCTTTCAACCATATATCAGGAAAGTTTCATCAAAATGAAAATTTGTATGTACTCCTGCAAAGCATACTACAAATTCTCACACAGCTTTTAGACCAGATTATTTCCTGTTTTGAAGGAGCAAACATGACTCCAGAGAAGCTTCAAAGCTTACCTGACTTTTAACAGGCAATCACAGCAGCTTACACAATGCATCTCTACTCATTAATGCTCTGAAAACTGCTTAAAATTAATCCATAACCATAATAGGATTTTAAAAGGGTGCATTTGCACAGGAAATCAGAACAAAACTTAGTAACTGCTGTTAAAGTCACAGCAAAGATTTTTTTCTTCTTAGACACGGGTTGCTCTTTTTCACTCCTCTCCATGTAGCGTGTGGCATATGACAAGAACATACAGCAAACATACAACATTATAGGCCATGCATATGAAGGAATAAAAGCATAAAGACAGTTACCTCACATACATTCAGGCAGTACCGCCAGCATTTAAGCCCCTACAGGCACAACCCGGCCACGTACAGTTGCTTATGACCACTAAAACCGCAGTAATGGTGCCACAGGCAGAGCTTTACTCTCAGCTGTGCACACTGCTCTCAATTGCATTAAATCCAAAAGGAAATTACTCACCTTCTGCTTCTGAGCAAGGGCTCACAAAGTTCTCGCATCAAGAAGACTCTCCATGGAAATCATTTCCTTGTAAAGGCTAGCTTCCCTCATAAGCCTAGTTTATTTTACTCCTAAAAACCACACTTTCTGTTGCTCTCGTGGAGGCTTCTTCCGGAGCTCACAAACTCCTGTTCCTGCAGTGACTTCAGAGCACACTGACACAGCTGCCACACAAATCCAGAAAGTCTCCCCTCAGCTGTTGTAATTACAAAGCTGGTTACACATTAAAACCATGTCCCTTCCCCCCCCTCCCATCACCATCACTAAACAGATAACAGCTCTAAGTCCCTACACTTGTTAAGTGAATGACTCCAGGCTCTAGAAAAAATAAGAAATTAAAAAAAAAAAAAAGTGTGAAGCAGAATAGTGAAGAGAAAGTAATATTTATAAGTCTGCTAAACCCCCAAATGTTTTGGAATGACAGCTAATTAAAAGCACCTTACTCTTCCAAGTGCCATAGAGGTCGCACCTGTGCAGCACCTTTCAGAGACGCTGGCGTTATTTGCACCTGCAGGCAGCAGCCCTCTGCAGGGTTATCCCTGGGGTACCCGAGCACCAGGTGCCACTCCTTGTGTCTGACACACTGAGGACACAGCAGGGACCAACACAGAACTTTTCCTTGGCATTTAAGGATTTCTAACAAGTGTATATCACCTGACTTGTAAGGTCTATCGCATTCCTAGAGTCACACCTTGTTGTCCTGATTTATTCCTTACATACTGTCTCATCTTTCACTGACGCATTTCTGTGGCTGTAAGACTGTTAATTCCATGTACAGCACACGGCTACGTTGGGTAACACAACAGCCAAAATTAACAAAGAAACACTTGTGAGGACATCATACAAGGCTTTGTACTACAGATTGGAGCAAAAATACAAGTTTTAATGATACATTTATTCCCGTATCTCTCCCCTCAGGCTTTCTTTAATAACTAGGTAATATCATATGATTGTCATGATCTTCAACTGGAGCTCACTCTGCTGAGACCAATAAACCACAAGAAGCAAGAACTGGTATTTCGAGATTATTGATGGAATCAAGGCCTGCAAATTGCTGAAGTCTGACAGACACTTGTAGGAATAATGCAATCCCTGTTACCAGCAACAGCTTTATGTAACTGTATGTGAATATAGTACATGTCAGCTGTGAAGGAAAACTTTGAGAGAATAAATTTGTAAAAAGTAGTAAGAATAAATTAAGACATAAAAGCTACTTGGAGGTTAGTACTTTGCCTACCCCTCCATATGATTTTGCTAAGTTCCTCTAAAATTAAGCAACTATTATTATAATTAACAATAACCCCCCCCCCCCCCAGACTCTATTTCCCCTTTGTGAGTCCCCTTATCCCCCCTGCAAGAATACTGCAATCTGACCGTTTAGCGTGACTGCCTGAGCAGGAGGAAGCTAAAACGCATACAGCACTGCTCTGTTTCTGTACCTGTTTAGAATCAAGGGATTAATCCATAATAAAAACCTGAACAAACAGCGTTATGGTTTGGGTACTGGGACCCGGCAGCATTTTTAAGGCATCACTGCAGATACTTTAGCAGTTGACACACGTTTGAAATTAGCAGCTTCACTCTGGGTTCGCTGCACTGAGGTGAGACCTGCACTGGGTGTCTCAGCTTTTCTTTAAACCACTCTACGCATCTTAGAAGCCTAAGTCCTCCTTTCAGAAGTGTCACAAGTATCTCAAATCCTGCAGGATGGAATGAGGCTGCAGGTTCTAACCTTGAAGCCATGCAGACAGAGTAATTCATCATTGCAAAGAAGCACCAAAGTGAAATTTAAGGAAAGCAATTGAGATGCTAACTCCCAGTGAAATCAAAGCACTGGGCTTCTAGGCGTACTAAAAAAAACCTTCTTGAAGCTTATGAATGCTTTAAAGCACAGTTATGGCTCTAAAAAACAGGACTGAAAACATAGGATAGAGACTTGGACATTAGCTTGTTTTGGAAAAGGCAACCTGATGATCTCCCACATAAGACACACAAATATATATGCACACTATAGCGGTTACCCATGAAAGAAGCTGCAAGGCTGCTCACAGGCCGTGGCCCTCCCCATGGCTCCTCCATCACCTCGCAGCAGAGCCCCAGGTAACTCGGCAGACGCTAGCGTTCCCGGCCCCCAGCAGCCTGTGAGCCCTGCTGTGGAGTGTGTGGTCAGCCCAGGCAGGACAAACACCAGGAAACCATTTGCACACAGCAGCAAAACCTTTGTTATCCCTTGGCTTGGTGACTATTATGGTTTTGCTGCTGCTCAACCCGCAGGAGCCTTCCTGACCACAGAAGTCTTCACAGGCTCTGGAAATAGTTTACCTGCTCTAGGCTCTGGCTCCTTAATCTCCCTGGTGAAGCAACTATGTCAAATAAACATGTTTTACAAAAACTGGTGTTCATTTAACGCTGAGGTACCCCAACCACTCCAAATGCTAAGCTCCAGCCAACCTTTATAATGCCTTTTCTTCCTTTTTTCCTCTCTCTTTTTTTTTTTTTTTTTTTCCCTAGCAACATTACACATCCTCGTATAGTTACTGTGAATATTCAAATACTGTAATTGGAGATGATTTACTTTGTTTTGAATTAACTAAAATTCCATTGTTAAGCACAAATACTGCTTCACTAAATCATCAAGCTTTTAATAGGTCCACATGAGCAGGTTACCGAGCGTGTTAGGATTTATAATGCTCCTGGGGAGCTGACCACTGTATTATGCTTCCTGCTGCTAGGTAATATGCATGACACATTTCTGGACACTAATTCATTTATTTAATAGTAACAGTATGCAAAAACAGAGTTCAAAATGAGGCTGACAAAGAAGGTATAAAAGTTTTATTAATCCATAGCTAATCAAAGGCCAGTGGAAGGCATATAATGGTGGCATTTACAGACCATATCGAATGTGAATAAATTAAATTTTTGTTTCCTAAAATCTTACTAATAGGATGTATTCAGCTTGAAACATTTATACTTTTAATTACAGCACTAGCCAATTTAGAGCAGGTATATGGTTGCACTGTACTTAAAACTTCGCATCAAGGATCTCGACAAATCCTCTCATCAGCTATTTTTTGAATCTGATTTGTTACTGTGTGCACTGTGTCCATGCTCAGAAATAATAACATTATTTACTTTCTCATTTAATTATACAGTGACAGATTACTTCTAAGGGGAAAGGGCACTGAGGGAAAGATGTCTCCTTCTGTCAGAGAAATTCCCCTGAAAGGCTCAGCATCGTGTCCATACAATATAACTTTATGGCTCCATCTTTCAAGCACTTGTATATAGGAGTAAATCAATAGAACTACTCACATGAAAACAATCATTTCTCCAGGCAAAAGTTTTCACAGGATCACACTCTCAGTTCTAACAAGTTATCAACCAGTCAAATCACATGGCAAATTCTGTTTGAAAATCTAATGGTCAGATACTAATCAACATAAATAATAGCTGGCTTGAATAAAAATATAAAGAAGAGAATGAAAAAAGAAAGGAAATGGAATGGTAAAATATCAGCCATACTATATTGGCTTGTGTTTTGAAATGCGCTAAGATTTTGGATTTGACTATCATCCCAACCATCCAGAAAATAAGACAGATGCAGTGTTCTGACTTAGAAAAGACTAAGATATTTTTTTTTCCTAAATCACAACACTTCCATAAAGTCTTTATATACCAGACTACTTTTCTTTAATGTTGTCTGCAGTTTTCTTCGTGCTTCCCACCACTCCCATCTGGAGTTGGGCAAAAAAGACACTTTGCGGTAAATACAAAATTAGTATTCAGTGAAGGGCTTAAGTGAAGGCCAATGCTCAAGTGCTCTGCTGAGCTTGAAGCTTTTGCCCCATAGCAGCTCTGTTGCAGAACTCACAGTCTAGTGGCTACCAGCTCTATACTTGAACTCTGTCCCTCGTGTAAGTAAGACCTGAAGCTTTCCAGATAAATAAGTTTCTACAGAATTATAACGTTTATTCTCCACTAAGCACAGCAAATTCTGTTTGGCTACTGCAGCACAATAAACACAACATACAGAGCAGGATGGATAGACTAGAGCTTAGCACAGCATTAAAAGTTTTGTGTGTTTTGCATTGCTTGCAGCACAAGCAAGAGAGCAGAGGTGCAGAGCGTGGCCTAGATCGTGCTATAGACCAGCTGCAAAGGCCACACCTAAGGGATGGGTTATCAGGCTAACTAGTTAGGCCCAGAACCACACTGCCTTCTGCATGCCTGCATAACTGCTGTTCTTCTGAAATAGATTCGTCAGTCTGTGCTCTGATTTTTCTTGCTGGTCAATTGACCAACTCATTTCATACTATGCTTCCATCCACCTCGTTCTTCCTTTGTTCTGTTTTATAAGATCTGTTTGTTGTCTGGTTTTGACTCTTCATGAGGCCTCTCTCATTATGAGTTTGTAGGGCACTTTGTACAGCCAGCCATTACCACTTGGTAATTTCACCACATTTCAATAACACAAATAAAATGATATAATGCCTGTGAACAGCCACCTCCAGCCAGGTGCAATAAAGAGTTGAAACTGAGAAGACACCAAACTCAGATGGCTAAACTTCCAGTAAGCTTTGCTCAGCTCAGAATGAGTGAGAGAACAAATAGGGTCACAGAGAGAACCATGGTCCAACTCAGCTTCAGATTACATAAAGTTGCCCCAAGACCATCATTTATTTATACTAGCTAGATGGGCTCTTCTTCAGAACCTGCATCGGCTGAAAAAGGACCAGCACATTAGACATCCACCTTCTTGCCTCCCTGAGGCAGAACACATTGATACATTGACAGACACATTGACACATTTTTCCCCACTTCTGTCCAGGTCTTCCCTCAGTAGGAACAGAGCTGCTGCACCGGAACACTCCACGCAGCCAGCTGAGAGGTGTCAAAATTAAAAAACTTGAGTCAAGTTTGAAGTGGACTCTAGGCTTGTCCATTTCTTTTTTAAAGCCTCTGGTTTATAAATAGAGGATGCTATACTCCAGATGTAATCGTTTATTGGCTTTTTTTTTTTTTTTTCATGTTGCATGTTTGTGTCAAAGCATGGAAGGAATAACTCCTCTGTCTGTGGTGATGGGTGACAGTGAAGTACCCTAACTTTAGAAGTAGGGACCTGGAAACTGACACAAAGATTCCAGACATATACATGCTTTTATACATGTGCATAAAGTTCTGTACTGAGAAAAACAGACAGCAATCTCACTCCTACTCCAGCTAAGTGGCTGCATTTCCTTCTGCCTCCG